AAGTTACAGGAGGGCGGCAGCGAGCTACTGGTGCACGGATTTGTGCGCAGGGCTACTAGTTTTTAAATAAAAAAGTCACTGCATTTTTTAAGTGATAGCTATATCTATCTTTTTATTTATTGACCCAAATCAGCTATTCATAAGTACTCTCTACTCGTTGCAATTCTAAGGAAAACTACCAAACTGGTATTTCTGGAAATCAGAACTATTTAATTCCTATAAGGGCAGCAATACTTCCTATCCGATATGAGACTAGGAAACTATTCAGCAATAAAATGAAAAATAAAACCTTCCATGGTCATTATTATTTCACTTGGGGAATGTTCATAGACCTATGAATGGTCAACAATTAGGAACCAAATCACCGTATCTGTTTTATGGTGAACGCCTTTCATCTGACCTTACACCTGAAAACCGGACATTGAGAGGAAAGCCCCATCCCCTACCAAAAACGTCATCTTCATAAAGAGAAATGGAGCACTGCTTCTCCACCATCCTCTCAGGAGGATCCCATACACTATCATATTCATCAAGTGAAAACATCAAGTCTTTTTTTGCCTGTGGATTGGTAACTAAGACATTAAATGAGAAAACTGAGCCCTGGGAACCGGGAAATAGAGTCCATTGTAAAAGCATTTTTTAATCTTTTACTTCTTATCCAAAGCATAATATTATGACTAACTGGGTATCATGCTGACCTCACTTCAAGGCAAGAGAACCCTGACATTCCTCTCTTTAAAGTCTTCCTTTATATTTTTGCTACTAAAAGCTTTAAACTGCAAGGTAGTGGTTGTTTGGGATATCCTATCTACAGATAAAATGTAAACTTCTTGTTAGAAACCTATACACTAAGGAAAATGAAGTTTAAACTAGAGAGAAGAAATGTGTAAACAGGGAGTTTGAACTAAGTTGAAGATAAAAGTAGCAGTGAATACCCTACTGAACCAAAAAATCTTAACAGTGCTCCTTCAGAGCAGGCTCAGAAAAGCAGGCTGACACAGTACCATATACTTTGAACTTTTCCCCATCTAGGAACCTATCTGACCTTATGGTAAAACCGGGGAGACATGGTAAGCTCAAGAAGAACCATGACATAGACATCTGCCATTTCTGCATGCCGCCAAGTAAAGGAATAAAGACATTATATTTTCAGATTTTAAACAAAAGACCTATGATTCTTTGCAACTGACAAGTTGAGGAAAAGTGAATTAAGATGACTTAATTCTTCTTCCATGTAATGTGTAGACTTAGGGGACAGTGGGTCCAAATTTCTTTAAATCTACTGTAATTTAGAAGAGGGTTGCTCCTAAGATTTTCTGGTCACAACTTTATGCATTCCCTGAGAATGTCTGCAGCCTCACCTGCAGCGACATCATGTCGGGTCTGTACTGTTTGCGGAAGCCCAGGTCATACATGAGGAACTTCAGCATTTCAAAGGCTTGCTCTTCACTCATGTGCAAAAGCAGGACTCCAGCCACAAAGCTGATCCCCTGACAGTAACCCACTTCTTTGTCCAGCAAGGAGTAGGCTTTCAAGAGGTTGAAGAGTGACAGTTGCCCTGCCCCAAGCTGTGCTGAAAAGTAAGGGTGAGTAGGAAATGTCCTTCCTGCAGAGGAAAAGAAAGAAAATATTTTTGAGATGTCCTCGTGCTTTGGAGACCAGAGCAAAACTGCAATTCAATGATTTCCAGAAATAAACATTCTTGCTCAAACCAGTTGGAGTTGCTTGGACTGCCCATGGAACTGAGTCTCTCTCTCTCTCTCTCAACTGAGTGGGGGGGGGGGGGGGGAGGAAACAAGCATAAACAAATCAAGGATATATCTAGAAGAGATCTCAAGAGAATAAAATATAAAATTTATTCTGACGATAAATCAAGGCAAATTCTAAGGTCACATAAAGATCACCAGCTAACTGAAACCATAAGAGGTGTCATTATTTAAAAGGAAATCTTAGTAGTTCTAAACAGATTTATTCCTGCTTCTCTTGTAATATGACACTGAAGGGACTTTTGGGAGCTGTTTTGTTTTACATTCAATCTGTCATTCAGGAAATACTTATTTTTCAAACATCCTTTGCTCTCTGTTTCTTAAACCACCTCCAAGAGCCATATAGACCTCTTCTCTCTCTCTCTCTCTCTCTCTCTCTCTCTCTCTCTCTCTCTCTCTCTCTTCAATATATCGAAAAAGGACAAGGAAAGTAAGGGGTCAAGGTGATTTCAAAAACATTCCCCTCGGGTAGTGGAGCGCTGTCCCATGCACTGAAGGGTCACAGGTTTGATTCCAGGTCAGGGCACATACCCAAAAGACCTATGATTCTTTGCAACTGATAAGGTTTTGGGTTCCATCCCAGGTTGGGGTGCGTGCAATTGATGCAACCAATTGATGCTTCTCTCTCACATCGATGTCTCTCTCTCAAGTCAATGAAAAAAAAATATATTTTTTTAATTCCTCTCTAAAATTCTCCTTTGGATATAAAATTACCACGGAGATACTGCAGCCAGCAAACACAATTAGTCCTGGATCACTGAAAAGTTGGTACTAAACAGAGAAACAAACCCATCTTCACCACCAACGCTGTGCACACAGACTGGTGCAGGACTTTCTTTGTGCCACAAAAATGAAGGGGATGGTAGCTTCCTTGTGAAATGACTACTTATGTAAGTTAAATCTTATAAGAATTTCAGATTTTTAAATGTTTCCACCACATGTGCTTAAGAGTGACACCCCTCCCCACACCCTCGGGAACTGGTAAGATTAATTCTGCAGAACAAGTAAGGGGAAGATGTGAGAAATAACAAGAACACGCTGACGAAACACAGATGGCTACAAGTAGAGTCAAATAAGCATTTTTAAAATTATCATTTTACTTTCTCAGTTAAAATTTTTGTTAAAGAAAACGATAAATAAGTTATATAAATAAGTCCCTGCAATCTGATCTCATCATCTCCTTCAATTAGGACATCTAGACTCACCCTAAGTGTATCATCCCAATTTCTAGTCTCAGGATCAATTTCCAGTCACAGAACCACAGATCTGCAGGGTACACAAGGATTGCCTAGTGCCAAGTCCTCATTTAAGAGAGAAGATTGAGACTCAGAAGCAAAGTAATTTGCCTAAAACCACAGTTCAGTGGTAAAATCAGAACAAGAACTGAAGTTTCCAGTTTCTTTGTAAAATTCTCCCTTTTAATTCTATTGGGTTCAAAAATATTAACTGATTTGGGCCCCTTTCCCCAAAAAAAGCTATCATCTAAAAGGAACAGAGGTCAAAACTAGGTTTTGGCCCGTGATTTTTATATGCCCTAATATAAGGTGACTCCAAATAAAACGTAACCACTTGTTTTCACAAATGGGCTCAAGTAACATATCTGTCCACTTTAAAATAACCAATTTTTAGGGATACAGATGAAATAGTCAAATGTCAATGTACAGTATTTAATCCAAAATTTTTGATATTATAAAATAATAAAATATATATTATAATATGTTAATTTAGAGAAAAACTAGGCATAATATAATTTTTTAAATAATACTATTGTTACTTTCTTAAGTTATTTGAAATTTAGCACTGAGAAAGACAGCTTTATGAGGCTGGCACTGGAAATCCTCCCCCAGGTTGTAGTTACCCGTTCATCAAATGTTATGACAGCTAACTTTTCTTTCACCCTATAGGGAAGGATTCATGATTTCCACAACATAACCACTCATCATATTGCTTTATAAAGTCAAAGGGTTGTTTTCAGCAACCTGTCCAGATATACTTAATGGAACTTTGTTTTAAAAAAAATTGGCAGCCCTTTTAACCTACTCTAGCCTATTTCAAAATCAAAGCTGATTGAGATAACTGTCCACCCCAAACAAAAGTCAGTTATTCAAAAACAGGAACTGAGAGTATCTGACAATATGACCTTCATACTGATTCACATATAAGATAACTCCCTTTTCGGAGGGCAAGTTTGGTGACAAAAATCTTCACTTTCTACTCGAGCAATTAGGACATCATCAACTAGGTATAAAACCACCTGCCCTCCACAAATGACAGAGTTAATTTCTCTACATAGGCCAACAGCTCCTCTTTCTCGACCAAAACACAGACAAACAAAAAACTCAACAAACGGACCCACTGTTTATTTTTGTAAATAATAATCAACAGGACAGACATACCTAAATCCACGAGAATAGCATGCTGCTGGGTGGTGAGCTGCTTCAGAAGTTCCTTATAGGATATGTCTGGAGGTTGCTGCTTATTGGGCAATCGGTGCCGTAGACGATACTGTATAGCTAGGAACTGCCAGATTTCTCCTCGTCGGCTTTTGGGAACACCTACAGTCCGAGATAAAAATCAAGGTCTTGAATTCTGGACAGAAGTTGCTGAATGGTAGCTGGTGAACCATATAATGCTTGAAACAGGCAGCTGTAATGTCCAGCTTGCCACCGCGTGAACATGGAGCATGACTAACAAGTTTAATCCCGCAGCTGCTGATGTCTTGCGAAAAAAATCCCACCCTCAAATAACAATGGCAATATTAGCAACATGGGCCAACACTGAGTGAGCACCTAATACAAAATTTACTGAGGGTGCCTCACTGCTAAGCATGGTAAAGGGGCTCAGAAAACACCCCAATGAGAGAGGTGATCACTATTACCCCCACTGTACAGATGGTGAAGCTGAGGCAGAAAGAGGCTAAGTAACTTGCCCGAATTCACACAGCTAGCAAGTGGCAGCTTAGAATTAGAACTCCAGAAATCTGGTTTCGGAAGCCAAATTCTGAAATCCTGGTATGCATTACTGCCTATTATCACCTTTTATTTGGTTTGAAGCTAGTAACAAATGCAAATCCTCATATAACTTCTCAATATTGGTCATAAATAAGAAACTTTGTAAAAGAGAATTAAATAGCATTTCTAGAATAATGAAGTAATAAAAATGAGAAGTACAATATGAAGGTATAACTGGAGTGCTAATGAACGACCTTCAGTCTTTGAGAAGAAAACATCTAGTCTAAGAAATGAAGCATTAACTCCATTGTGTTAGAAAACCAAAGGGTATCACAAGCAATTCACAGTATGCTAAAATTTTGTTTTTTATGCCAAAGGATATGAAGTAAGCACTGGGAGGGACAGAATTCAGTTCTTTACAAAGCAACTAATTTTATTTCACTACGTTTTTTCAGTTCAGACAGACTAGCTCTGAAATACGTTCCTGAGCTCCAGCTGGGTAAAGGAAGGCTTAACGGCAATAATCTTTTTGGGCTGCAATGCCACAGTTTGCATCAGCTAAAAGTATTATTTTGCAAAAGCTATAGCTCAGGCTTACTGGCTGATTTACAAGGCCCTCCACAATATATCTCCAAACCATCTTTTCAGTCCGATTGCCTCCCATTCCCCACCTTGCACAAAGCATAGGAAGCTTATGGCTATTGTCACACCTCCAGTTCCTTACTGTTGTCTCATGGAAATCCAAGCTCCCCCGCTTGAATGCCTAGTGTATTTCTGCTTGTCTTTTACGGGTGAGCCTGAAGGCCCTTCTTCTACCAAAGGCCTCCCGGACATTTCTGGGAATAATCACTCTGTTCCACTTACTACTTGGCTCATACTCTAACATGGCCATATTAGATGACAGGTCGCTCTCTGCTGTATGTTCATCTGTTTTCCCTGCTGCAATGGCAAGTTCCTGGAGAACAGTGAGCACACTTTCATCTCCGTATGACCAAGTCCAAGAATATACCTCGCTATGTAAGCATCTGTTGAATGAATGAATGAGTGTATAAAATGTCATTCTTAGGGGGTAATTTTCATCAGCTTATTAAATGAATTATTGATCATCGGAGTGGACTGTTTTACAAAAATGTAATTCACTTCAGTTAAACAAGTATTAATTGAGCATCTAATATGCAGCAGAGTAGAGAGCATGGCCCTGAGGGTACCTCATCACTAAGAAATGAATAAATGCATTCTCAGGAAAATTAGTCTCATCCATTCATTCATTCATCCATTCATCCATTCAGTAAGTAACTTGTGCAAGATGCTCTCTTAGATGCTAGATGTGCAGTGCAGTGATGGGGTGAGAAAAACATTAAACAAATGTACACGTAAATATAAAATTGCAACTTATGATCACCACAATCACAGGGAAAGAATCATAAGAAAGAATAATAAAGTGAAACTAATTCTTTTTGGTGCAGGAGAGCGGCGGGCACATTATTTCTGAGGAAGTGGAATTTGAACTGAGTGCTGAAGGATACCAGGACTCTCCAGACTGGGAGTGTGAGCAGCCATCTCTCTGGAAGGAGGGTGTGTGAACGCCCTGAGACGGGCAGAGGAATGGGAGGAGGGAGGAGGAGTGAGAAGAAGATGGGATGGAAAGAAGGGAGCTGTGAAGGGGAGCCGGTAGCATGGTAAGGAAGAGGAGTGTAAGGAGGCTACAGCATTCCACACAGAAATAGGCTGGGACACACAGTCTCTCTGAAACACGTGATACAAGGTAGCAAGAGGCAGAACATGAGATCAGAAAGATGAAGAAGGAGAGGTTATGGGGGGCACTGGGCACAATGTTCAGAAAGTTAAACTGTATCCTGTATGAAATGGAAAGATGGGCACCCCCTAAAACATATTTTAAAATCATACATTTCTCACACATTCTAGTAACCACTTTTTTCCCTAGTAACCATTTTGTCTCTCAAATAATGCATTCAATGAAAATCTTCAGGATTTCCATATCTTCAAGGCAAACCACCAATATACTAGGCCTGTAAATGTAGGATCTTACAAAATTAATTTAAATTTAGTTATGCAACATTTTCACACATTACCATAACCTTTTAAAACAAGATTCATTATCAGTCATTTTATATGACAGAGCAGCAGTACAATATAATGGCTAAATAAAAGTAAACTTTCCAAAATAAATAAATAGATGGAAGGAACACTTATTAATTGATTAACAAGAATATAATTATGTATATATAAATACATACATGTAAGTGAATATACATATACATGTACACATGTATGTAAATAAACTCTTCTAACCAAATTAAGGAAATGAGTCAAGTCTGTAAGCCTGAATTATTTTATGGATATGATCGAAGATCTGTACCAGCGAATCCAAGGAATCTGCTCCTTCCTTGGTAAACAATGACACTGAGCTGAGAACAGCTGACTGAAGGAGGCAGGAAAGTCTGCAGAAAAGGTGCTGCTTCAGGGACACTCTCTCCATTAGCACCATTTCTTACCAACTGAGTCACTGACTACTGGCAGAAGTAATCACTTTCCTTTTTTTTATAGGTAAAGCATACAGACAAAAGTATGCCCAAGGTGCACAAATGAAAAAAAATAAAATAAAAATCTCTGAAGCTTTCTCTAAAAAGATTGAGCCCTAACCAGTTTGGTTCAGTGGATAGCACTTCGACCTCCGGACTGAAGGGTCACGGGTTTGATTTTGGTCAAGGGTACATACCTCGGTTGCGGGCTCAATTTCTGGCCCCAGTCCAGGCTCGTATGGGAGGCAACCAATCAATGTGTCTCTCTCACATTGATATTTCTCTCTGTCTCTCCCCCTCTCTTCCACTCTCTCTAAAAATCAATGGAAACGTATCCTCGGGTGGGGATTAAAAAAAAAAAAAAAAAAAGAAGATTGAGATGCTCTAAAATACCTTCTTTAAGAGAAGTATGAATGTCTTCCATATCACATTTTGTTTTTCCTCTGCAGTTCAATAACTTCTTATCCCAGGTTATTAAGATCTCCTTCTGACATACACCAACTTCTTCATAGTCCAATTTAATTTTTCTGGAATGGAGTTCATCTCTGCTTGCTGAGGAAAACAAGAGAATTTATGTAAGACTGATATGTTTTTAAAATATAGTATTTTTAACATTGTATTGTATTTGTAAAACTATACCAAATGACTTTTAGGAATCAACCACCAATATTTTCTGAAAAAATAAAAATTTTTAAAAAGTGAGAATACATGAAAGGTTCTCAAACTTTGAGTCATTTCATGTAAGAAAATGTCAGGAATAACTTCCTGAGGAGGTTTTACTCTGTATCTTACAGTCTGTCACTCTGCTAAATATAAAAATAAGCCATGTTTTCTCTGCTAAAAATTTCAATCCTATCTAATAATAGACAAACATGGTAATTGACCATACCTTTGCTACGCCTCCCATTGGCTAATCAGCATGATATGCAAATTAACTGCCAACAAAGATGGTAGTTAATTTGCATATGTAGGCTCCAAGTGGCAGAGGGAAGACTGAAGGCAAGCCAGCGCAGCGAAGTCGGAAGACTGAAGGCCGCTCCAGCCAGAGCCGCAAAGACAGAAGACTGAAGGCGGCTCCGGCCGGAGCGAAGGCCTGGGTCCCGGGTGCCGGGGGAAAACCTGTGCCGGCAGCCAGGAGAAGGGAAGGCCTATTGCACGAATCTCTTCATGCAACAGGCCTCTAGTTTTTTTATAAATGTGATAGCCTCCAAAATGACAACTTACAACATTTCAAACACCATGCAAGTGTTAATATTTTATATTTAACATCTATGAGAAGCAATGTCTCATGCTAACTTGGATTCCATAAATATTTGACCATCATAACCTGGTATATTTTTATAACCATTTCCATTAGGAACACTGTCCTTAATAACACTGAGGTATGTGTTCCTGTGTTCATTCGTAATAATCTTAAAGAGGAGAATTCATGTTACTGAAGTTATCACTACTTCCATTTTTTAAATAGTACAAAATTCTCTTTCATTTGCTGGTCTAAAATATAAGCCCAGAGTTTATTAAAAGAAATGCCTACAAAAGCAAGCACTATCTTAACTTGGTCTTTATTTGATTTCAAAATGAAGAAGAAAAACCATGACAGAATATATTTTTTCTCTTTCGTTCATATCATGTTGAACAGGAGTCTTTCAGAGTAATCTGTACTTATTCAAGCCCACGGGGCTCAACTACCTTACCTTCTGCAACATAAATCTTTGTCATGCATCCAAAGTCCTCGACAGCACAAAAAACAATAGCAAAACCAGTATTACTCTTTACTTAGTGTGTTTGAAACCTTTCAAAAAAATTTAAATATCTTACAATCGACTGCTATTCGAACAGGGTTGTAAAATGCTCTACATAAAACTCCAGACATAATAAAAAAAATAAATCACACACAAAAATAGTCCTCCTGGATACCACTAGATGGCTTTCTAACATAATTTAGCTTTGATTCTCAATATTTGCTTTATATTTCTCTATGACAATCAAGTAAAAGGAGTGAGTTCATTAAAGCTAATAATAAATATAATCTCACATTTAACTTTACTAATGATTTTTTTCACAATGAACAAAGCATAACATATCTTCAGATTTTCCTTTTCTCCAACCTTCTGTAGACCATTTTTTTTTTTCATTTAAAATGATAATAACTACCTACTATGTGCCAGCTGCAGACCCTGAGGATGAACTGCTGAGGAAGAGCAGTTCATCTCTGCCCTCAATTATTTAATGAGGCAAGAATAAAGTACCACCAAGAAATGATTATCCATTGGCTAGAATTTTAATAAGCTAAATTATTTTGTCTTTGTTACATAAGTAGAGAAATAAATATAAAACTAATAAAGTTTTCTATAGTATATTCTAAATGTCAACTCCATTCATATTCTGTCAGTTTCTACAGAATACACAGAGTCCGTTGCATTGAAACATTCCACTTCCCTATATTCACACACATAGTTGAGAAATACTGTGGCATACTGGGAAAAACCCGAGAACCATGAGAAGTAAACACGCGGTTCAGTACCTGTCTGCCAGCACATCACCGTGTGACCTTAGGTTAATTCCTTATCCAGCCCAAGCCAATGACTAACAGTTGCAGAATGAAAAATGGAGCTTAATAATCTCTAAGGCCATTTCCAATGCAGTCTATGATTCTAAAACTTCCTTAGGAATTTAATCTAAGATTCTACTTGCACATATTCCCAAATGTTAATGAAATATGTAAGTTCATGCTTTAAATGTTTTAGAGCAGTGGTTCTCAACCTGTGGGTCGCGACCCCTTTGGCGGTCGAACAAGCCCTTCACAGGGGTCGCCTAAGACCATCCTGCATATCAGATATTTACATTACGATTCATAACAGTAGCAGCATTACAGTTATGAAGTAGCAACGATAATAATTTTATGGTTGGGTCACAACATGAGGAACTGTATTTAAAGGGCCAGAAAGTTGAGAACCACTGTTTTAGAGGATGATAGCCATCCTTTTTCAAGTTCTTTTACTTTTTATGAGTTAATTCAAGATGTAACCAATTGCTTGAAAACACACAGAAGGGGCAAAAATAGGTTTACAGTTGTAGGTATGAGAAACACAGAGTTTATTCTTGTATTATTATTTATTGTATTATTTTCCAAACCAACAACTGCAAACCTATTTTTGCCCCATCCTATAAATTCAATTCCTTTAAAAAAATCTATGGCTGTTCAAGTGGGCATACTATTTACCACACCAAACTTTTAAAAGCTATGTCAAAAGCAACTAATTGCATTTTTTTTTAAAGAACATTTACTACCTAGGGATATGTAAAATCTTAGTACTCTTCATTCTGCTAAGAAAAATAACAATAAAGAAAATAAATTATAAGCTTGCAAACTAAATATTGTTGAAATTAAAAACTGAATTGAATAACAGGTATAGTAAGAGGAATCTTAAGCTAGATGATGAGCACAGAAAGGTGAATACTTGTATTTAAAAAGCTTTTCGGAAGACAACACAATAAAAGCAACTCAGAGACAATCCTCCATTGTACAGTTTCTAAGACTCCAAAAAATCAAAGGGTCCACTTAAGCTAAATCTTTCCTTTTACAGATGTAAAAGATAAGACTCTTTTATGTTAAGTGATTTGCCAAAGATAATGGCATTAATACATTTTGGTACTGTCTCCACATCTCCTGGTGTGTGGTTCCATCAGTACTGAGGTAAATAACATCAATATTTCAAAGTCTGGAAAACACATTCTAAAGCATTTGGTATTTATAAACTTAGCAATAAAGTTTATAAACAGCACAATAGCTATTATAAATTATCCAATTGTAAATTTAATGATTTGCATATAATTTTTAAATAGAAAATTTATAACAAAAATATGAACTTTGATTTGATAATATGTAATTAGACACTTTAATTGGATACAATTTATTTGAAATAGTCTTATTTCACTTATTATAAAGTTATCCTGAAAGTTGAAAATCATATTCAACAAGAATTTGCTTTCTCGTGCTTAAGAGTTTTTTTTAAAGTAATACACAATGATATTTCAGTCATATAAAATACATTGATGATCAAATATATATGACTGTATTATCGTATTATCTACACTCTCTATTACCCAAATATCTCTAAGAGTGCCTGATGTTTTAATTCTGCTAAGCCAACATGCCAATATTTCAAGCTGGTCTTTCCCGTGTTATAACCACCTCACAAAATAGAAATAAGCAATTATAATCAGTAGTCTAGTAAAAGTGCGTATACAGTCCAAGACAACAATCTTAAATTATAGTAGCATATCATTTAGGCCCATTTGAATGGCTAACCTTCCAGTTTCTGGTTTTCTTTTTCCATTCGAAGCAACAAAATTTGTTGGTGTATAGCTTTTCTCCACAAACTCCTCAATTCTTCTGATTTTTTTCTTTCTTCAGCTTTTTCTGGGTCATCGCCCCCAGACATGAATATAACCACCGGTTCCTCCTCCATGGTGGGAGCGAGAGGGGACAGCGGCAGCAGCTCATTCCTGTCCAGTCCATCTGCAGAGAAGAACACAGTGAGAGGCATTCCCCAGCAGTAACCCAGACGACAGAAGTTTTCTCCAGCATCAACGTGCTCTCCTCCTAGAGTCCACCTTTAACGCTTTGCACAGAGCCACTTTCCTAGTCACTGTTAGTGTCTGGAAGGAATGGTTTAAGTAAACTCACGGGACTGAATTCCCCTTCCAGAGTTCCCTCTCATAGTGAAATGAAAGCATATCTCATTTCACCACTTCTCCTTTCCACACAAAATGACCTAAAAGATAGGTGCTCCAAAATGAACTGGCCTTTCCCCTGAGTTTTAACACTTCTGCAATTCACCTATGTACACCCTCTGATTGTGCAAAGCAAAAGGAGTGCGTGAGTCGGTATGAGGGCTCTCCTGAAGGCTACATCCACCATCTCAATCCTTCAGGAGAAAAGTGGCTGAGCAACTCTGGGCACGTCTTGGCTCAGCACCCTGCTCACTCCTCCTGCAACAGTCTCTTGCCCAATTCCTGAGCTCATTTTCTCCTCTGTTCCAGTCCATCTTTTGTACCGTTGCCATTTTTTTCTGTATTAACAGGCATGACCATGTCTCAAAACATGTCAATGATTGCTTATATCCCAAAGAACTATGTCCAGACTACAGGGGGTAGCATATAGATCCCTTCAGACTCCGGCCGCTTGTAACCTTCCCATCCTCATCTCAGTCTTCCATTCTGTGCTCCCAAAGTTCAATTTCTCATGATTCTCTGACCTACAAAATTCCCTCCAATGACTCCAGAGCTTTGCTAGTTCCTCTTTCTGAAACATACTTGTCTCAGCAATGAGTTTAAACAAATACCTAGCTTTGCCCTGAAGCTTCTTCTTACTAGCAGAGGCAGAGTTGATTTTATCTTTAGTACTGTCAACTGTTTCCTTGTTTGTTTTTTTAATTTATAAATTGACCTCCACTCGTACCCTTATTTATTTTCTTAATAAATAACTTAAAAAAAATTTTTGTACTCTTTCACTCTTGTTTTAGCTTCTTGAGTTAAATATTTAGTACATTTAAGTTTTGGCTTTCTTAATTTTAGAAATGCTCTCTTAATATGACTCAATTTTTATCATATTTTCTTCCTTCTAGCAGCTTCTAGTAGAGTTTTCAGTTTCCAAACTGACAAAATATTTTAGTTGTCCTCTAATTCTTGAGTCCTTTCTTTCATTTTTTTTTCCTTTTTTCTTTTTATTCTTATTTGCACTGTAATCAGAGAACAGAGTATAAATGGTCATGATGGTGTGGAATTCATTAAAAAATCTTTGGAGCCAAGAACATAATTAATTTTTATGACTGTTCCATATGTGCTATAAATGAATGAATTTTCTCTCTGATGGCAAGATTCCATATAAATTTCAGATCTACTTTGTTTAATTGTATTTCTCAATTATTATCTGTATTCAATTTTTCTATATTTAATTTTCATGGAGGAATATATTAAAAGAGCTAGTGATATTTTTTTATTTCTGCCAAAAATTCTGTGATTTTCTAGCTCTCAAGTCTGTATACTTATGTGTGTTCTCATTATTTTTATATATTTCTGTTTATTATTAGTTTTTTTGCCCTTGTATGTTTTTGTTTTAATTTCTAACAACAGGCCTAACATTCGAAGACAGCGGCCACAGTCTCTTTTGCTTGATATTCGCCTAGTGTATCTGTATCCATTTCTTCATTGTTCAACATTTTATGTCACTTTGTTTTATGTGTGACTGTTAAAAAAGAGTACATTGCTTTTCCAATAATAAAAAAGGCTATGACTATGCTGAATGTCAACTATAATTGAATAGAACAGACTGACAGCTGTCAGAGGGGAGAGGGGTTGGGAAGGAGCTGGGTGAAAAGATAAAGGGATTAAGGGGAAAAAACAAAAATTAAAAATCACAGAGACACAGACAACAATATGGTGATTGCCAAGGAAAAGGGGGAGCTGAGAGGGGGAAGACGATAAAGGGGGGATAAAGGGTGGCAGGAAGAGATTTGACTTGGGTGGCAAGCGCCAATGCAGTATGCAGATGATGTGTTACTGAGTTGTGTACTTGAAACCTATATGGTTTTATTAAGTAATGTTACTCCCAATAAATTCATTTTTTTTTATTAGGTAGGATTTTTTTTTTATTGCTTAAAGCATTACAAAGGGTATTACATATGTGTCCTTTTTTTCCCCGCCCTTGATTTCAAAGTTAGGAAGGAAGGAAGGAAGGAAGGAAGGAAGGAAGGAAGGAAGGAAGCAAGGAAGGAAGGAAGGAAGGAAGGAATGGAGGGAGGGAGGGAGGAAGGAAAGAAGGGAGGAGGGAGGAAGAAAGAAAGAAAGAAAGAAAGAAAGAAAGAAAGAAAGAAAGAAAGAAAGAAAGAAAGAAAGA